AGGACATATTCTTCTTGGACGTTTTCAAGAGATTGCTAGAAAGTCTTGCCAAGACAGTTGTTTCTTAAGTGTGCTCTGGGGGTAGAATTTTCTAGTATTAATTATCCTGTAATACATACTTTTCCTATCTTCAATTTGATAGCATTGCTGCATATTCCTAAAGTTTCAATTTCCAGACCCTTGATTCATCCCAAAGATCCATTTGGGGTCTGTTCCTTTCCTCTTAATAGTAATAAGTTTCAAGTTTCAATTAAAAGGTACTTACATGTTTTAGTATTACAAATATTTAACTATTCAGAAAAATTACACATTTCTACTAAAGGGAATTGGGGAGGGAAACTATAAAACACATCTAATTACTGAGAAGAGATTGTAGGTATATGCATACACATGCATATGTCATAATAATTGCTTATCCTTATATGATACTGCTTAGTTATAGATAGTAAGAATGTTCCCTAAGGACATATATTATCATTCTTTAAAAAAAAATTAAATCTCTGAAAAAGGAGGAACAATCTGGGTTGATAGATGTCCTTACGATTGGTGGTTTGATATATATTTTATATATTTATTTACTTCATTATTACCCGCCTTTCTCTCTGAGACTCCAGATGGATTACAAAATTTAAAATAAAGTTTGATCAGACAGCAAGGAGTCAAACAGCAATGAAAAAAACAAAACAAAAAACCCCCTCTAAGGCATGACAGTCTCTTAATGCAGAAAGCAGGTTGCAGGGACAGGAACAATGCAATAAAAGGAAGGTGACACAGTAAACATGTGGCCAGTAAACACTGGAATAGACTACAATTCTGTTTGCTTATACCAGCAACCCCCTGAGCTGTTCCATTATACTACAGTTTTAATTCCTTTACAAAAATGCCCTCCTAAAAATTCTGTTTTGCATGTTCTGCAACATGACAGAAGTGTGCAGCCTTCCTGACCTCCTCAGGCAGGCCATTACATAAGGTGGGAACCTCCATAGAAAATGCACATGAACAGACAGTTGCTGATCTCACGCATTTGCAGGGTGGCACCTTCATATATGAATATTTGTGAACATTAACATTCTTTCTTTTGCAGTTTTGGAGAGCTGGTTGGATTATACTGGAGAGCTAGAACCACCAGAACCACTAGCTAGACTCCCACAACTCAAACATTGTATAAAACAACTCCTCACAGACTTGGGCAAAGTGCAACAAATAGCGCTTTGCTGTTCAACATGATACTGGAGAGTTCTACATGGTGGCTGGAGCATATCACATGATGAACACTGTTTAAGTGGAATAGCATGCTTGTTGCATGTGATGCAGAACTGACTTCAGGGAATTGTTTCAAGACAAGTGTTACTCTTCAAGAACAGTAATGAGGTTGCCCTTTTTGTTCATTTGGCTTTTGCTAGGCATTTTTAACATTGTGGAAAGGGATTTATTCTTGTCCTCAAGGCAAGGAGCAGGCTGGCAATAGACTTTCACTCCTTACATCAAGTTATTTAGAACTTCAAGGTTAAAGTTCATTGCATATATATACACTGACAAAATTGTGCCACTGGAGAACAAAGTTCTAAGAGCCAAAAAGTGATTAGTTGACCAAGGCTGTAAATTACATTCTGCATTGTTTATTTAAGTGACTAGTGCACCAGATTGAGTCATTTTATTCTACTGGTTTATGCATAACCACAGTATTTAATCAACAGAAGATATTATTTTCAAGTCTAGCAAATATGAATGTCTAATTTTATTGTAAACTGTTACAAGGGGTTTGCAAATAACGACCTGAAACATGTCTACTATTTTAGATAGATGTAGTAGAAGGTCACAATTTGGTTGCACTTCTTTTCCTAGTAAATGATTGTTTTCCATATTTATCATGTCATAGTAGCATGCCTTTTATGGTACCGGGAAACCCATTTATGTTGTACTTCTGTGCATTCTTGAATTTCTGAGTCTGGCCATGCTGTGCCTCCCATGTTATAGTACTGATGAGTCCCGCCCTCATGGTAGGGTACAGAATGGTCTGTGAGATAAACAAGTGTACTGCAAATTCAGATTTAGCCATGGTCTGTGATAGACACGGTGTAGTTTTATACGCAATTGTTAATAATTTCCATTCCGGTTATAGTTTCAAATGTAGTCTTCGAATATTATAAACTTTCTCCTTGTAGACACTTGTAAATGTGTGGTTTTGGGAATCAGTTTATTTTATATATGTGTAAATGAAGCCTCAAGATCTATGCATGAGGTACTGTCCCCAAAAGCAGTGGGGTATTACGTTAAACAGTATGTTTTCAAAAATCCTTTTTTTTGTACTTTTATTTTCAGTTTTATTTGTATTTGTGAGATCAAAGTGAAAATGCTGCTGAAGCTACATTATACAGTACCTTTTGGAAACATTGGTGTATTGTATGTATTGGATATGTTTAAAAAATCTTTTGCCTGAAAATCATATTTCCGCAATTGATTTTTTTTCTTTTTGTTAGACACATCTGGGACAAAAAAGGTTGAAGAAGACAGGAATGGGCTATTCTTGCATTGATGGAGTTCTGAATATGTTGTATTTTTATTACCTTGATATCACAGTTGTGTTTTTGACACCAAAGTTTAAAATTAAAGCACATTTGTGAGTTGAAGGCCCGTTTAAGTGTAAATGGTTAACTATGGCTATAAATCTGTAATGCTTATATGCTGCAAAAATTGATTATGTATACTTCAGTTAGCCAGTGTTGTCATAGGAGTAACATTGACTATAGTTAACACTTTGACCAGCTGATCTCTTTCAGAAAGGATAACTACAAAAAGGCTTTTGTGCCAAGACTAATTTCAGGGAATAATTTGTCTCCACTTTATTGGCACTTATATGAATAACATCTGTACAGCAGATAAAATTACTTTGCTGTAATAATTGGAATAAAGATTATGTGATTGTTAAATGACATCTGACTCTAAGAAACAAAGTACTGAAGTTGTGAATGTTTGCCCTGCAATGTCAGTTATACAGGAAACTCCAGCTTTTCAGTGACGAGTTAAAAAAAGGTGGGTGACTAAAGTTTATGATTGTCTTTGAATGTTTGACCAGGTTAGCCTCAGCAGCCATATTTGCCCACAGATCATAGAGACAAGACTCTGTGGGATTTAAGGGGCTTTCCCCGTTACTGTAGTTAGAGCAGTTACTGCATGCCTTGCAGCTGGCTCTTTCAGTGTCTTGTCCTAAGAAGCCTATGGCCCCGTTCACACGGAGCATTCGCCACGCTAAAGATACGGATGATAGGCGGATTTTCTGGGCGCGATCACACCGCAACATCTGGGAAGCGTAGTGCTCCCGTGGCTAACCCGTGGCTTCCTGCCAAAGATGTGGAGTAAAAAACTAGTACTTACGATGTACTAGTTTCTGGAAAACGCGGGGCAAGGGCGGGCGTCTGATCGCGTTTCCGCTGGAATCCCATGGCATCCAGCACCCGCCCATGTCCCCTTGCAAACCAGATTTTTTTTTTTTAAGTCCCCACAGGAAACACACATGTGCAAACTTCAGTGAGACAAACTTCATGCACATGTGCAAACTTCGGTGAGACAAACAAAAAATCCCGTTTGCCACAGAAGTGGCACGGCGCGATTGCCGCTGTGAACGCGCCGTGCTGCTTCTTTGCCGCGCTGCAAACTAGCCGTCTGATCGACACCTAACGCCTAACCACGGGACCTCGACAGGACGTCTGATTGGGCAGCCGCGCGTTACTTTGTTCCGGGGCAAACAGCCAAGCTTCCCCCCTGCATTTTCCGGCCCGTGTGACCGGGGCTTATGAGAGGCAAGTACACATCAGCAAAATGCACTACAATGGTCTGCCGTGAGAAAGGGGAATATGGTGAAACCGCTTTATCCTCCTAAGGGTAGCTTTTTGCTCCTAATGGAGCCACTTTTGCTTTCCTCTGTGTAGCCTCTTGTGCTTGCGGCAATGCTCCCTGCCCTCAGGGGAGAAGCCCATTCACTCCTGCAAGTGTTTCCAATAAATCTACCCTTTGTCTTCAGCACAATACTTGAGGAACATGAAAGTTTATTTGTCTGTTATTTTAATAAACAGGGTTGAGTACAATTTACTGGTTTGATTTTAACATAGTTCATACAAGCGTGTAACTGTAGTATTTTATTTTGGTATGCTCTTAAGCTGTTCCAAGCTTGGTCCCTCAGATGTAATTGTTCTGTAATGTAATTGACAGTACAGGGACAGTGGGGCTTTGAGTCCTTCTCTTGGCCAGAAGTCACGGAGAGAGAGAGAGACACCCAACAGTCAAGATGAGATACAGCAGGTGTGCTATACTGAGCTGAAGCAGAAAATCCCCATTAAGCCCTGAAGCAATTATTTGCCCCAGGCCACTTAGTTTACATCTCAGCCTACCCCCTCTTCTAAGGCAATTTGACCCCCATGTACACGTCCCTCACTTTACTTCAAAAGAGTGGAGGATATAAATCCCTCATTTACAGACTTCTGTAACAGAGTGGCTCCAGTAATATTTACATCCCCTTGAAACAGTTAGGAAAATAGCAACCTCTAAACCAGTCCGCCAACCAGTACTGGGAACACTTGGATTTACAGGCAGAGGATATGCAGTGGGACAAGCCACTTAGACAGCCCCCACAGAGTAAACGCTTGTGCAAATTTGTCTTAGATTTGCTGCAAGTACATTGTTAAAGAAGCAGTAGTGTATTCCAGGTGATACAGATTAGATTTAGATTTGTCAAGTGATCCATTGCCTTATTGTTCTTGTACTTAAGGTAGCCTTCCAGTTTGATCTTTATGAGGAGGCCTATTTAAAATACCTAACTCTACGGCAAACACCTTAAATGCATTATGAATGTTTGTGTGTTATTCTTTTTCATGAAGATTAGGTATCTGCAGGGTGTTTTGGCAATACAGCTCTGAAGAAACACCCCCCCCCCAACAAAAAAAAAACCCTGAGGTTTCTTTGACGGGAGTCATAACTCTTTGAGTTATTTTGGTGTTAAGAGATGGAAAAAGAATAAACATAGTACTTTGGACTAAAGCGCATCCTTCTGGAACTGAGGTCAAGCACAGGTCCTCCTCCATTTAATAGCATGTCATGAATGATGGTGGATCTTCTATATTTCCCCTTCAAATTCTGTGGGACAAACAGTTTCCAAAAGTGATCAACTGTCTTTGCACTTCTTCCTCTTTTGGGTAGATATGTCCTCTAGAAGCAAATCTTCAGTCACTAACAAGTAAGAATTGATGGCTTCCCGCAGGCCCAGACTGACCGGAGAGTCTCCTGGCAGTGGATCCTGTGACAACAGCTCTGAACTAGACAAGGAGAAAGCAGTTCTGGTTGAACAGGATGTGAAGGAGAAGGCTGAGCATTTTTCTCATTTGAAGAATGAGTTTACTTCAGGGGTGCAGCATTTGAAGGTACATCTACCCTGTAGATAAGGATGTCTTGATGCTTTTAGGAAGATTGCTTTACAAACTGACATGAAAGGCTTTCCTTTCAGAAGCAATACTTGCTTTCTATAGAACAAGAACTAAGGGGCTTTATGCTTGTTGTCATAAACAGACTGGTCACAAAAAAGCAGCCATTGAGTATCCCACGGTGCCCTGGTCTCTCCAGCAGTGTTCCCTCTAAGCTGTTTTAGTGTGAGCTAGCTCACAGTTTTCTCCAGCTCACACATTTCTGTCTTAGCTCAGGAAGGATGGCTCCAGAGCAAACTAATTTATGCAGTAGCCAAATTGCTTGCTCGCAACTTTAATGCCAGTAGCTCACAAAGTAGAATTTTTGCTCACAAGACTCCACAGCTTAGAGGGAGCATTGCATCTCCAGGCCCTTTACATACCTGTTGATCTCCCGCCAGTTGAGGTTTGGCTGTTTCACTATCACTGGCTTTGAAAAGTGGGGTAGCAAGCCCAAGTCGGATCCTTGGATGAAGCATGGTTTTTGCAGGCGGCAACATAAGCCATCCCTGCTATCTAGAAGTATAAAAGGAGAATTACCTGAGTTGTGCAGGGGTCCTGGATCAGCAAGCTTGCTCCATCTGTTTCCCTCCCCCCATTGGATGGATGGACACACACACACACACAACCTTAGCGTGTTCCTAGAAGTGTCCCAATAAGGAATGCTGACAAAATCCCTACTGTACAAGAGTGGAGAAAACAACTTTGGGACTATTTTATCTTGGGTAAGATTGTAAATAACCCATTTATGACACAGTAAAACAAAAATAAAAATTTATTGAAATACGGCACCCAATAACGGAATAAAAAAAGGTAAAGGTTCCCTTGCTCGAAAGCCAGTCGAATCCGACTCTAGGGTTGCGGTGCTCATCTCCGTTTCAAAGCCGAAGAGCCAGTGCTGTCCGAAGAAATTTCCGTGGTCATGTGGCCGGCATGACTAAACACCAAGGCGCACGGAACGCTGTTACCTTCCCACTGAAGTGGTGCCTATTTATCTACTTGCAATTTCTTGCTTTTGAACTGCTAGGTTGGCAGGAGCTGGAACTAGAGACGGGAGCTCACTCCGTCATGCGGCACCCAGGTCTCGAACTGCTGAACTACCGACCTTCCATAGCCTGCAGTTCAGCGTCTTAACCACTTGAGCCACCGCAGCTCCTTTTAATAACGGAAAACATTCCAAATAATTTATATTACAAGAATTTGTTGTATTTTTGAACAGTAGAGGGATATATTTTAAATTCTACTTTTTTGAAGGCTAATCTATCTTTAGTAATAGAATGGATAATGATTTTATTAGTATATAAAGTGCTATGATTCTGTGGAAAATATGAAAAATGGCTGTAATATTTTTGAAAATGGAAAAATTTAAAAAAATTAAAAAGAAATGCCAATTCCCAGTATTCTTCCACAATGATACAGTGCAGTCAAGAAACAAAACACAGGAGAACAGTCTCAATAGCTCAAGTTGAGCTGGAAATTATCACAATTACCAGAGACCAGATTTAACACTGCTCCAGTTAAGTCCAAGCATCTTCAAATGCTGTCTGGGTTAGGAAGCCAAGTTTCTTCTAGAATGGTTTCACACTTAGTCCACAGAGCGAAAGTTAAGTGCATCCCTTTTTGTACTGTTTGCATGGTGAGGTAGTTCTAAGTTTTTAGAGGGGGAGGGGAGGGGAGCTGGTAGTGGAAGTAGGGGTTATGCTTGAACAGCAGTCCCTCCAATATCCTTATCTTTGCTACTACAGGGTTTTAAAATAATTACTTCCCAGGCATATTTTTAAAATTTATTTATTGCTTTTACTTTTACCCCGTCCTCCCCGCCGAGATGTTCCCTTGTAGACACTAGCATCTGTAGTGGTGAAACCCTGTATATGTGTACACATCCTCATTTTTTTCTCTGTAGGAGTCAGTGGCTGCTGTTCATTTATATGGGTTAAAGTTAAATGCTAATCCTGGGGACCTACCTGCTTTGGGAGGCAGAAGTAGTATTTACTTAGAAGGGACCACAGAGGGTTGGGATTTTTGCAGTGATAGGGGCACTCTGCCCTTTTTGTCACCTTCCCCATCACAAGCATTTTGGTAGTGGAAAATGAAAGCCAAGATCCTGCTGTGAGTAGATGTTCTCTCTTGGTTGATCCTTGACCTTGCCTCTGAATAATAGGGACCATCTTGTATGAAAAGATGGGGTTAAACCTTAAGCACCATGGTTGGGAAGACTTCCCCCCACCCTTTTAACAAACTGAAAACGTAGAGAAAATGAAGTTACCAGAATAATAGTCCACCAAATCCTGCAGACTGGGAAAAGTGAGACGGGAAGTGATGTAAATCCAGTTGTTTTCCAGGCAGTTAATATGATAATGTTTCACAGAATCCCAGGCTCCATGCTGTGCATGTCTAACAGACAAGGAGTAGCAACCTGTTTGTAACAGAGAAGAGAATTCAGTGGCATGCTGAATTTCCAGATGCCCCAACTTCTGTAGCGCATAAAGTTGCCTCATAGGCGTTTGAGGTTTTGTTTTTTGTTTTTAACGACAAGCCTCCATTAAGGCATGCTGAAAGCGATGTACTGTTGGGGGGGGCGTATTGATGATTCCTTTAAGATTCTAGATTAGGCTTGGTGTGGGCTCTAGTATGTTTTGCCAGTTGCTACGGTTTATTGTCATTTTTGATTTAATGGTTTAATTTCCCCCCCGTTTTGCTTTGAAAAGTCATTTTATTTTTGCTTGTTGCAAGCTGCTCTGAGTGCAATGGGGATGGTATACAGCTTAGAAAGAAATAATTCTGCATTTCTCCTTGTGTTTCTTGAGCTGATCAACTTCCTTCCCTGGAGTTTTTTTAATCAGGTTTCAAAGGACTGTCCACAATACCTTTCATCATTTGGCTTTTTCTTATCAGAAAGGATCCTTCATGGTTGGAAGGCAGCATCAATAGCTCCTCAGCTTTTTCTCGGCAGATGCCTTCATAGAGCCACCTGAAAAGCGAGTGAGCGTTGACATGCTTACTGTCCATAAAACCTGTCCCGTACAAGTTAAAGGGGTGGTGAAAGACTGATTCCTCAGGAACATGTCCAGTCCCTCGTGGAGGTGGGCCTTTTGGTATGCACAGAGCTACCCTACTACTCCCAAAGACACCTTGACAAGTCCATATTTTGCTGTTGCAAAATCAAAGACAAAACAGCAACACTTACCTGTAAGAGATTTTGGCTATGTAGTTGCTAGGAATGTAGCAGCCTTTGCCAGTTGCTACTGATACAACTTTCCACCGTTCCCCATCCCTGTAGGAATAAAACATAATCATTTGTTAAAATACCACTGAGCAAAAGCTGTACACAAAGCGTAAAACTGCAAAGGCCTTTTTGACATCAGTTTTCTTGGAGCTCTTTCCTTCCCTACAGTCAAGTATCAGAGGAAGGGGCAGCTTATAACATGAGATGTTTGTCCCCTTTGCACTCTATGGCAATTAGTATCCTGAGAAACTCAACCTTCCATACAAACAGTCGTTCATCCTTCTTCACGCTCCAGGAAGGAGGTTCACCATACCACAAGGGCTATGTGGAGGGAGGAGGGTAAGAACATAAGAACATAAGAGATGCCAATGTTGGATCAGGCCAAAGGCCCATCCAGTCCAACACTCTGTATCCCACAGTGGCCAGAAATACCAGTGCCATCAGGAGGTCCACCAGTGGGGCCAGGACATTAGAAGCCATCCCACTGTTGACCCCCCCAAGCACCAAGATGACAGAGCATCACTTGCCCCAGAGTCCCTATCTATACCTTGTGGCTAATAGCCACTGATGGACCTCTGCTCCATATGCTTATCTAATTCCCTTTTGAAGCCGTCCATGCTTGTAGCTGCCACCACTTCCTGTGGCAGTGAATTCCAAGTGTTAATCACTCTTTGGGTGAAGAAGTACTTCCTTTTATCCGTTCTAACCCGACCGCTCAGCAATTTCATGGAGTGCCCACGGGTTCTTGTATTGTGAGAAAGGGAGAAAAGTACCTCTTTCTCTACCTGCTCTTTCCCATGCATAATCTTATAAACCTCAATCATGTCACCCCTCAGTCGTCGTTTCTCCAAGCTAAAGAGCCCTAAGCGCCTTAACCTTTCCTCATAGGGAAAGTGTTCCAACCCTTTTATCATTCGAGTTGCTCTTTTCTGCACTTTTTCCAAAGCTATAATATCCTTTTTAAGGTGTGGTGACCAGAATTGCACACAGTATTCCAGATGAGGTCGCACCATTGATTTATATAGCGGCATTATGATATTGGCTGATCTGTTTACAATACCCTTCCTAATAATCCCCAGCATAGCATTGGCCTTCTTTATTGCAGTCACACACTGTCTCGACATTTTCAGTGAGTTATCCACTACAACTCCAAGATCTCTCTCTTGATCAGTCTCTGCCAGTTCAGACCCCATCAACGTGTATTTATATTTAGGATTTTTGGCTCCAATGTGCATCACCTTGCACTTGGCCACATTGAACCCCATTTGCCATGTTGACGACCACTCGCCCATCTTTGACAGATCCCTTTGGAGTGCCTCACAATCCTCACTGGTTTTCACCACCCTGAACAACTTCGTATCATCCGCAAATTTAGCCACTTCACTGCTTACTCCCAACTCCAAATCATTAATGAACAAGTTTAAAAGCTCCTTTTTAACAAGGATAACAAGGGTTTGGTCCTTCAGCTTCTCCATTAGTACAGATACTCACTCAGACAGCAGATGAAGCTGTTCCCCCATCTTCAGTATTGGCTCTGCCTGGCCGGAAGGGACGTTGCACAGTGCGATAGCTACAAGTCAAGAAAAAATACACATGTCGCTTTTACGTTTTTCCCCACTGCTGTAATATTCAAACCAGCCGTGTCTTCTAAGGGAAACTTCATCTTAGTCTTGTGGGTTAAGTGTGACCCAGGATGTCCCCATCCCCCTGGCTCAAATCTCATCTCAGCTATAAACAGGAAGAGGCCTTAGGCAAGCCACTTTCGCTCAGACACGTATTTGCACCCTCTATTCGTCTACTATACAGGGCTAATGTAAGAATTGCCACGATACTTGAGACGTACTAAAATGCCCCACCTCTGTGGAAATAGATTAAGTCTGATTTAGCACATTCCTAGAGCTAGTCAAGTCCTGTCCTAGAATTCAGTCATGAGGTCATGAAGATGTGGTTAAGAAGGTAGGGAACTGTTTCTTAATGTTAAACGATAGCAATATAGAAAGACAGGCTAACAGTGGGGAAAAAAAGAAAAGATCAAACAGCAACAACAAAACGCACTGGATTAAAGACGGGGTAGGTGTTCCAAAATATTTTTGAAGCCACAGCCAACACACACAACAGGGTGGAGTAGTGAAGGCAACTGCAAGGGGGTGGGTGGGTCTAAAACAAGAAACAACTGGCTAGCTGTTAAAACAAAAGATATTTGGTGCCAGGCAACTCTTTTGTGGGGAGGGAGACTCAAAATCAACGGGCTACTACTCCAGGCCGCAGCTTCTGAACGTAGTGTGGCACACAGTGTGGAGTCTCTGATGATACCCTCGGCAGGCTGTGGTCCTTTGGGTACCTGATTCCAGGGCGTGTACCAAAAGTTGGCCCTGGGAACAAACTCAGCAGCCAATGAAAATCTTCTAAAACTGGCAAGATTTGGTCTGCATAACTTGTACCTGCTAGCAGTCCAGCTGCTACAATTTGAACCAGCTGAAGCTTCTAATCTGTTTTTGGAGGCAGACCTGCCCAGAGCACTGTACAGTGCTTCAGCCAAGATTAATTGGAACATGGATAACTTTTAACTAATAATTCCTCTCGTGATTGGCAAGCCACCTAAAGATGATTAAAGAGAATATCTGTTCCACTACTTGGGTAAGAAAGTGTCCTTAAACTGTGCACCTGCTTTTTAACAGGGACCGTAACCCCATCCAGAACATAATCCCCCAAATCTTGACTAGTCTTTTTATCAACCAGCAGCACCTTGGTCTCTGGATTGCTCTTTTAATTTCCAAACTGTTTCCAAACACTGGTTTCAGGATATCGGTTTCTCCTGATTTGACTGGAAAAAGTACAGCTGGGTGTTACCATTTACTGAGCATGAGGACATCTGTCCAACTGTCCACACATCCTTTTCCAGCAGTTTTATGTGCATTAGGGTGTAAAACTAGACTGGAGCTGTGGTCACCCCCCACCCCAGCTCCATTATGACCCACATAACTTAGTTAAGAATTTTAGGGGGGGGGGGCAGGAAATTTTTCAGGATAAATTTCTTTATTGCATCTCACAGCTTGCATTTTAATAGGCTGAAATTCAAGACCCTAGGATGTAAAGGGGAAATTTCCTCTCCTGCCAAGGAGGGAAGAGGGGCCATGTTCTTACCTCCCCCCACCATGGGAAATTTCTGTTTCACCCAAGGGGCTCGCAAATGAAATGCAAATTCCTGAGACACGAGAGATTGGGTATGTGTGGAGGATCTGAACCCAATGTTCTGACCCCTTCTCCAAAATTCTTACCTTGTCCTAGCAGGGAGACATTTCCCAGGGGAGGGAATGATCAAATCCCTTGCTCCCCAGGGAACCTACTTGCTGCTGGGAGGAGACCTCATGAGACTCTCGGAAGGAGGGGACTGGTCACTGTGTCCCCCCTTGGATGCAATGAGCAGCTTCAGGGAAGGATCAGAACTCTGACTCCCATGTGGGAGCTGACATGGGCCATATAATGTGGGTCCTGCAGGCTGCATCATGTAGACCACAGATGTAGATGATAAACTCTGGTGTGAAAAACAGAAGCTTATAGGATCCCATAATTAAATGCTAGGGCTCAAGCAGTTATTCCCCAGTGCCATCTTCTGAAACTGTATCAGACAGGAACAGAACCGCTGGAACACAATGTTTCCAACCCACCCATCCAGGAGGATACCATGGTTGAGGGTCTCAAAAGCAGCTGAGAACTCCAGAAGAGTCAACAAGGGTACTACTCCCCCCATGATTCTGTCCTAGAGAAGGTCACCCGCCCCCGCAAGATAGTAATTTCTGCCCCAGAAGTAGGCCCACAGCCGGAATAAAATTGGTCCAGATAATCTATTCCCAGCCACAAAGGCCTAGAGTTGTGTGGCCACAACTCGCTAAGGTACCTTGCCCCAAAAGGAAATTGTTGCTGTTTGCCAACAGTTGTTTATGTCTTCAGGGGCAAAAGAGTGCTTCCTATGAGAGAGTTCTCCCGCAGTGATGCATTTACCACTCAAGTGATGCAACCGGGGAAATCTGTAGGGTTGCCTGCTCTGGGTTGGGAAATACCTGCAGGGTTTAAGGGAGAAGCCTGGGAAGGGCAGGGTTTGGCGAGGGGAGGGACCTCAGCAGGGTACAATGCCATAGAGTCCACCATCCCAGGCAGCAGCCACTTCCTCCAAGTGAACTGATCTCTGTTTCCTGGAGAACAATTGTAATGTTGGGAGATCTCTGGCAACCACTGGAGGTTGGGAATCGTAGCAGTCCCCTCTGGCTAGACAGTTTATGTCAAAATGGGTAAGGGCAGAGTTGTGATAGGATGCACTTCCTCAAGCCGCATGTCCACATCCTTGGACTGCAATAGCTGAAATTCATCCATTGAAACCTGATGAGAGACTGCACTCCAGTGACATTCCAAACCCAATATGCTGTAACAGAGTCCCGTTACAGATGCAAGCAGTTTTAATCTGTGAAAGACCTTGCCCTACAATCTTTTGTGCAAGCTGGTCTTGATTTGTCAGAGGCCAATTGCTAAATTTAATCATGCAAGCCCCAGTTTGAAGTGCAACAAACTAGAATCAGATTTAATCACCTTATCCGCCTAGATCTAAGACTACAGCTACTCTGCTTCCCAAGTTCCTGGGCCAAGACTTGTTTGTAGCATAGAGTAATCCCCACCTGTTTGTCTTGGACCAAAGCCGAGAGGTTGGTGGGTTGGTGGGATTGGTTGAGTAGCAGCTGGCTTCCTCCTGCTGGGCAAGCTTCCCATAATAGTCCTCAGCCAAGTTGTGTGTTTGGGCAACAGCAGTCTACTAGTACAGAGCAGAGAGAGGCATTTAAAAACCAACAACACTAAGGCAGAAAGCGATGTGGAACACAAAACTACCAACTGTGAGCCAGGCCCTCAGCTGGAACTTCTGAGTGGCATGATTTTATAACTTTTGTTCTGAGTTAAATTCCACAAGGAACGTTCTGTCTACCTGAAGATAGGCAGTAATGGTGGGAGGAAGAAGCAGCCAATGCTAGGATGCACAAAAACAGGAAATAATCAAGTCACTTGTCCAGTGAGGGATGGTTTACCCCTCAGGAACATGTGGAGGGCTATCTGGCCTCCTGCTGTCAAGGATCCTTTGACTGAGGTTGTCAAAGATTAAACCTAGAGCCTACTGCATCCAATCACCAACCACTGTGCAGCTTCCTAAAGTATGTAGTGGTATAGGTGCTGCTCTTGAAATTTATGCTCTCTGACTAGAAAAATCAGAACTTGGTACTAATTGTTTAGGGGATCATGATTGTTCGTTGATAACACAGAGAAGCCTTTGTATATGTTCAAAGGTATCCTCTTTATCCTCTTCTTTGCCACTAATGAGCAGTGTCCAGGCGGTAAAATATCAAGTTGAGTCCTAGTGGCTGATACTATCCCTTTGCTCTACAATGAAAGTGAGATTTACTAACGAAAAGCTGTTTCCTGTTAGTGGACCAGCTTGATGGTTGCTCTTCACCACACTAATTTGTTTTCTGCCATGTTTCTAGTATCTGAGTGCATGTTTTCCCTGCATCAACCAAGCTCCCTCTTGTCTGAAGTCCCCTAGAGATTCCTAGCAAACCATCGATTGAACCACTCTGGACTTATTGACAAAATTTGGGGTGGTGAGAGCAGAAGACAGTTGTGTGGCAATCTATTTACCATCCTTGTCCTTTGAATGTCTACTGTGAACACTCTGTAAGGCATTGCATCAAATATCCTGAACTTCATGTAATAAATTGCCAATATTGAGAGCATCATGGTCACAGAAGCACTCGGGTATATGTCTGATGAGACATTATAGAATGGCAACCATGGTCTTTGCTGTGCTGGTAAACCAACACGTTTAGCAATAACAAGGTTACAATCTATGCATTTCTAGACCGGTATGCAGGAGCTGCAGTGGCTCAAGTGGTTAAGACGCTGAACTGCAGGCTGTGGAAGGTCTGTAATTCAGCAGTTCGAGACCCAAATGTGACGCACGATGAAGTGAGCTCCTGTCTCTAGTTCCAGCTCCTGCCAACCTAGCAGTTCGAAAGCAAGAAATTGCAAGTAGATAAATAGGTACCACTTCAGTGGGAAGGTAAACAGCATTCCGTGCACCTTAGTGTTTAGTCATGCCGGCCACATGACCACGGAAACGTCTTCGGACAGCGCTGGGTCTTCGGCGTTGAAACGGAGATGAGCACTGCAACCCTAGAGTCGGATTCGACTGGCTTTCGAGCAAGGGAACCTTTACATTTACTATGCAGTTCTAGTGATCCTGCTTACTATCCTTATAGGCTATATCTGTTACATAATATTCTGTATTGCAAGACCAAGAGTGGGCATCACTTACCTGTCTGTCATGAGATGGTAGTACTGTAAGCAGCAAACGTCTTTTCAAGATGGGAGACTTAGAACCTGATGGCAGTGCAGAGTCTAATCTCAGGCCTTCAAGTTGCGACAGTTGTGTTCAAGACCTTGGCTTACATCAACACATGGGGATGAACACAACACAATTCCAGACCTATTCCTTTAACAAGGCATGCAAAAAATATAACCCCTGACCAAACCGTCTGTAGGCATTTAGTCTTCTTATGCAGTGTTAAGCCCTTGCTCCAAGAGTCTGAAGACAGCAGGCTGCCCCTATGCAGTGCTCGTGCAGGTCTTAAAACCCGAGTAGCAGGACCCTCCCCTGATGTACAGATTAGCTCAGTTTGTATCGACAAAAGTGCTGCTAGCTGCTGGGAACCCACAGATGATTCACATTTCCTGTGACACAAACAGAAAACAGAAGAGTGTAATAGCCTGGTACAAACGTGCTGCTGGGACATAGTCTTTTAGCTCTCTCGGACAAAAGGGCTTAGGGCAAGGGTCATTGCTGCTTGAGACCGGAAGTGCTAATGGCCTGGTGCTCCAAGTACAGTGGCTTGCTTATCCCCAAACTCAATGCTACATAAATCCTGGAGACCAGTGCAGACAAGCTTGTGTGTATTTTATTGTTAATACGTGCAACACTATGCATATATTATAGAAACAATCTGGGTTACTTCCAATAGTTTCTCCTTCCCCTCTGCTGGGATTCTTTAGGTTGCTTGGTGTTCTTATTAAATCCGTGGATCCTGGAGTAAGATGCAGGAATGGAGGTCATGAACACAACCTTCCTGAAACAGATGCTGTTTCACACAGGAAGTCTGCATATCAGTGAATTAGCGAGTGTGCACACTCGCATCTTCCTAATGAACTGCAAGCAGATGTGAGAGTTCTTTGGGCAAAAACAGCAATTATTTCGGGAATAAGTAAAAAATGAAATAAGCAAGACCTGCTTAGGGCAAACTGCCAACATTTCCTTACAGTATGTGACACCACAAAGAAGTTTTTCTCTTTGTCCTTGATCTATGGCAGTGGCTATGGCAAACTCTGGACAGGGTGCAGGTTCCCCTCTCTACAAGGGGATGCTGCAGCACAGATCCAGGTTTGGTGTAGTGGTTAAGTGCATGGACTCTAAGAGAACCGAGTTTGATTCCCCACTCCTCCACTTGCAGCTGCTGGATGACCTTGGGCAAGCCATAGTTCTGTCAGCTGTTCTTGAAAGAGCAGTTCTAGAAAGAGCTCACTCAGCCCCATCTACCTCACAGGGTGTATGTTGTGGGGATGGGAAAGGAAAGGAGTATTGTTCTGTTAAAGAATTTCCCCATGCTATACCTGTCCCACTCCTCTGGGGGGGGGGAGAGGTAAAGGCAAGTGGTGAGGCAGCCTAAGACTGTAAGTACAAATACACTTTCACAATATTTAAATGCCCCTCATACAGAAAGGGGCAGAAGCTGGCCTTCAAGAACAAAAAGGATAGGCACACGAGAAATACAGGATCAAGTCCCTGCAGTCACAGTCCTTCCTCTTCTCTTCACTAGGCTGGCTCCTAGAATTGAAGTCCAGCTAAGAGAAAGTGGTCCACAGCCTATAGGGGGTTGAAACACAGATGTGTGTGTAGCATTCAGGACTCCATGCATGCACCTGTGCCCCTTTCACTGGGCCCCCTCCTGTGTTCTAAGTGATTGCAATAGACGTGGGTTTCAACATGTGCATCTGCACCTGCTCACATTTGGCCCTAAGGAATGTAGTTGGCCAGCAAGTCCTTGCTTAATTTTCATAAATCTTCATGTCACTGAAGGCCGTGCCATGATTAAAAGTGTGTGCCTCAAGATATCTTGTCTTCCTCAGAAGCATAAAAATAGCTTTATATCTTCATTACTATCTCCTACTGTGCTGCACAGCATCAATGTGTGTCTTTGTGGGCATAACTAACCCTTTGTGGGCATGACTAATCCTAGAAATGCAGGCTTCTTTGCCAACTGTCCTCCAGCTATACTTGTCGGTGTAACCGTGCCTTATCCAACCATTGCCAAGGGTTTTTTCCCCCTTGCTTCTAAGAAGTTTTGATGCAAGTTTCTGCAGTTCGTTTGGTCCCATGGAAAATGAAAATGTTACTGTTGCCTGATACCTACATGTTCACTTGAATTTCAATCTCTAAAATTCTTGATAAACTGGTTGTTCCACAGCTGCTGTTCCTATTTAGAGTCATAACTTCATCATTATCTACGTCAAGAGGTTTTGAGCCCCCCTCCACTCAAAAAAAGATGGTGCTAGAACAATTGTCATTTCATTTTTTTTTATCTCATACAATAACTGAGAGTCTATCCTTGGTAAAAAAAAATTGAGAATACTGTTGCTAAAAACCAAGACGATTGTCTG